ATATATATATACAGACGGAGATCAAGTTGTGACGGCTACATGTTCGTGCAATGTGTCAAACCTCTTCGGAGTGCCAATCAATCTCACTTCAAGAAGAGCAGAAAAAGGCAAAATGGGATCCCTATGTGTGTCCGAAACGAGCAACGGTGAAGTTCTAACCTCCTTCGCCTAAAAGCTGATTAGTTTCAAATAAAAGTCGGCCCCTTTAGGTATCACTGCGTATGTACGGTCCATATCAGTATAATGCTATGATCCTACCTCATGAAATGTTAACCAAAATTGTGAATAGTGTCTGACATTCGAAAGGATTACTTAATTAAAGTTAATTAATTAAAGTTGCAGTATTAAGTATTGTACAGCATCATACCAAGATGTTTCATGCGCTTGAACTTGCCGGCTTTTCAAACCAGCTGCTAAAGCTACATTCTTTAAAAAAGGACGAAGTGAGTAGTATGAATTTTCCCGTTGATTTTCAATGTGCCTATAAATTCAAATGTAAGTTGTAGAAAACATGCCAGATACTATCCCTTTTATTCATTTGGTAGAACATTAAGTCTTCTTCAAATTTTATAATCGAATAAAGAGTATTTTTCGATAAGAAACTTTTTCAATTCCCGAATTATTCTAAACTCGACCTGCCGTTACCCTTGCATTGAAGGTTTCCGAACTTCATGAAGTATACATACCTTTCACCTAAGGAAAATCACACATTTATCTACGTTATGAGGAAGATGTCACATAATGCTCACAAAACCTAGCAGCGAATGTGAACTATACTTTATAAGTGGTATTAATAAATGCGTTATGAATAAATATTTCACGGCCTTAAAAGATCCCACAATAAGAGAAACTTTAAAATGGAAGGACACACCTACTTAAAAGACAAAGTTAAAAAAGAAGTAATTTTCTACCTAATAAGCACAAATAAGAACATTTTTGTGCATAGTTTCTATATGATCTATTTGAATTTAGAAGGGCATCGGAAATAAATGAAAAATGCCATGCTACTTAAGCAGTCATTTTTTGCAGGGGGAAGCTTTTGAAGGTGGCCAGAAAACAGCTCGTTTAAAAAGTCGGTAGCCTGACTTGACTGAAATATGCTGGGACTAGGTTCCAAGATAATTAACATTACAGTCGTATTTAAGGAATTTTTGGAGTCGAAAAGATTTCAGAATGTAGGCTGACATCAGATGAGGTGGTAAATGCAGTATAGCTTAACATAACAACCAGAAACATTTTAGAGTTGGTTTCATTAAACCAAAAGAGGACGACTACTTACTCATCGAATATGCAAATTTCATATAATTTTATTTCGATACGTTTTGACTTTAAATTGCATCAATCGAACGCACATGCAAAGGCCGTCGGTACTGCACTAGGGTTTGTGAGGTCACCCGAACTTACTGTTCAGCAGACCGTAAGCCTGAGGAAAATTGACTAAAGTAGGGATTACTCCGGCGGCCTGCCGGAATTTTTCCAAACATTTCTTCTATGGGACGCGAGTCTCATGAAATGTGATGTTAAAATCCGTTACAGATCCATTATCTGAGACAACAGCAGGAACGGGTAATTCATACACCGATAGTGGGAGTCACATACTGGCCGGAGGCAACCATAAGGCGTCGGATAATGAACCCAAAAGACCCACTACCTCGGCAAGAAACATCTGGAGTCTTCTATGGGAGCTGGTGCAATCGTGGACAAAACAATTACGTCGGAGAAACTGAAAGAATTCTCAAGACGCGAATTGCAGCAGTGCAGCGAAATGACGCCAATTCTCAAGTTGCGGCTCATTCGACGAGACCAGACCGCACATTCAAATTTGATGAAGCCGAAGTCCTCGTGAGAGGTGATAAGTGTGTGAGTCGCGAGTTACCTGTGTCACGTTTCGCGGGCCCCCAGTCCAGAAGCAAGTGTAACGACCTGCCGAAATCCTACTGGTTGCTGAAGTTCAGTTTGGCTAAAGTAGCTCGCCACTCGGGGACTGCACAGGCCAACGCGCCGTCTAGCGTAGCGCCAGGGAGCCAGATGGCTGAGCAATTATCACGCCAAATTTCACTACGTGTGATCAAAGTTCAGCAAGTTCCGGCCCGTACGC